CTTATGCAAGCAGTGACAGATCCAAGAATTCAAGGGAATTATTGAGGATCTAGACTAGCGTGCGGCCACTTGAGCAACTGTCCAATATACGAAATTCTCTTTCCAACGAAGTCAGAATGAACGACTGCTATGGCTTGTCGGGTGCGGCTCCGCCCCTGTAATGCAAGCATGAGCTTAACTATTTATTACAATTCGTAAGTATTTTATGATTTCACAAATTTCTTAGATATTATACTATTATTTTTTAAATACAACCACTAATACTTTCAGTCATCATATACATATGACGAAATAAAAATAACGAACACAATTAGTCCCGTGAATACAATGAAAAAAAGCAGCATAAGAGACAAGTCGCTTTAATTATATTTTAGAGTTCCAATAATATGCATCATAACCACCCCTTAAGTAACGATAAGAAATCAATAAATAATAAAGCATTGAGAGCTAGACTATTGTTCGAATAATTCACTCGATCACAATCAGCAAATTAGATACCATAATGAAGAGCCATGATCTCAGTATCCTCCAAAGAAAAAATCGACCACCCAAGTTGTTGGAAAATGACACCAGTACCACACCAACATTATTGTGGATTATCCCATCCACTTCAATACAGTCCATTATTACATGAGTCGACTCGACTACAGGCCGTTCCCAGTTACCACCCCTTACTTTTACATCTAGATTCCAAACCTAGTCGCCTCCCTCGCAGCCTTGACCCTGGCATGCCATTTTCTGTAGAAAAATATCAATTGGCTAATCACTGAAGTAAACACTAGCTCCAGATTATGCACTTTTCCTGGTGCAATATCCTATTCCAATCAATCATAATCCTCCAATTGACATGCAAAACTCTTCAAAAGTTTGAGTAGGCTGGTTGAAAAAAATTGTAGAAATAAACTCCGCCGCAAGTTACGAAAGACTTAATTGAAGTCCCCAAAGATAACCATCCTCTTTGAACTCGGGGAGACTAACTCCAGTTAGAATAATTTCCTTTATCAACAAAATGCCATATAATACTATTAATCATACTTGCATGGTTATAGCCGAATTTCAAGTTGTAGAACTTACTTTAAATCTCATAATGAGGTTAAATTACTTGTCTTTGCTTTGCTTGCTTCCACACTGCCTTGCACTGACTCATTTGTCAAAAACTCGATCATAAAGGAGTTTGATAGTCATAACCTAGATACCAATTTAGAGATGTAAATTGGGTCGGGTTAAACCGCATGAACTATGTTGTTTTCTCCCAACAAATACAAATCATTAAATTTAATACACGAACAAGTTACCAAGACCTTTCTCGAGTTATCTGATCCATAGGGTGATTTTCCTTCTAATTTCAAAAAAATTAGAGATATGTTGAGATTTATTTGTGATAATAAATTCATCTTTAATCATTTTAAGTTTTATTTTTGAAGAAAAATAATTTTATAGTGCCTAAAATAATTCTTCTTCCTCTTTTTTATTTTTGGGACTTGACTAAAGTATATTATAATTACATTTTCATGATTGCAATGGAATGAAAAAAAAAATTGAAATCTCTAATTTTCAATTTTATAAATGGGCTCTGCTACGTGTACATTATGGTATACATAATGGCATCCATAATGGACACACGGCATCATCCTATTGGATGGAGTGCAGGTGGGACCAACACTCATTCCAATAGGGTGGTGCCGGGTGTCCATTATGAACACTCTTATGTACACCATAATGTACAAGGAGAATAATCCTTTATAAAATTACCAAAATAAACAACACATATCGCAACTATAGTCACAATTTCTTTATTGTGAAATAATTATTGTACCCATCAAATTATCACACTTATTGGCCTCAAAGTAAGTAAAATGATTGAAGTCATATCATAACAACTCCACACAAAAAAGGCATAAATAGTCATCACGATAAAAGAAAAATAACTTTCTCATAGTTCACCGACAAAACAATGAAGAAAAAAAATGCACGAACAAAAATGTATGCATCTATCGATCCATAGTATGAAAACTTAATCTTCATCGTCACATATGTAGAAAATTATTAGACTTACAACTAAACTATATATAAGATTTTTATTACAAAATTAATCTACTTGTTTTAATAAAATCTTACCAGAATTATAATTAAAAATTTGCATTTTTTAATAGAAAAAATGATTATGAATAGAAAAAAAAAATAAAAAAGAAAGAATAATGTTAAAGAAAGGAAAAAAAAATGAAGAAGAAAGAATTCATTGTTGTAACTTTTTCCTATGACATTCTTATCTTAACTTTCTATTAATTAATATATCTTATTCCTAATTAATGATGTATTTTGTCATGTTTTAAAATGAATAATATATATTTTGTCGTAATTTTATATTTTATATTTGTTTTTCTTATTTAAAATAACGAGGACAAATAGGTCTTTTTACTCTTTTATAAGGAATTTTTGGACGAAAAACGTAATCGTGGATAAAATGTATTAATTAATTGAATGTTCACGATAATAATTCGATAAAATGGTCAGAAATGTGATAACGATAAACGACTATGAGCATCCTTAAATCAAACAATAACAAATCACGCATAAACGGGAAATAGTATTTGCTTAAACAAACAGTAAATTGCGTTCACGATGGTCAAAAAGTGAAAACATTTATCGACTGAAATTAGCATATACTGAAAAACGTCCCATGAAATGCTTCCTAATTTCTATGAATCTCTGTGTGCAATTTTAAAGTTGCACTTCAAAAATATTAAAATAATTAAATCGAATATGAATGGAATTGGTATGGCTACATTGGCTAGATGACAACCAAGTCAAATCCAATGCTTCGAAGTTATTTACATAGAATTGAACAATTCGATGTATAGCTAATGGAATAACAAATAATGTGAGAAGAAAAATACTATGAATTAAATGTATAAAAAAAAATTGACATATGCATCTTCAACATTTTAATTTAAAGAGAGACAATTCATTATAAAAAAAGTATAGATTCTTATCAAAATACTTTGTTTCTTGTTCAATCGAAAAAAAATACGGAAGGCAGTTCGAGAGAGGACGTAGATTTTGAAGAGACTAAAGAAATCTTTTGCTTTCCGGTTAAAAAAAAAGGAGAATGATGTTTGAAAGATGATGAGTCAAATTAATTACAGACATGATACTGATATATTATGTGATACATAAATGTAATAAGTTTTATGCCCTCTAATCTCACGTTTTAGAACATTTATCATGATTTTTTTTAAAAAATATTTGCATGTTCAAATAATTTGAGACTCTTACCAAAACAGGGTCTTAGGCGATCGCCTATCCCATCTGAAGTCAGGGCCACCATTGCTTGCTAGTACACACAATACATTGATGAAGATTAAATATTTAATATTTTCTTATCCGACTGAAAATTAGCAAGTGAAGACATACATTTTTTTTCAATTGTTCAATGAAATCACGCTACACGTTTTCTGTAAAAAAAAAAAAAAAATAAAATAAAAATTCTATAAATTAACTTACAGGGAATACCGCTGTAAAACTCTTACATAATTAAATATATGTACTTTCGTAGTTAACTGCAATTAATTAAGGGCTGTATCATAAGACCCCTCTGTCTTGCCTTTACATCGACATTTTAAGGAAGTAGGCCAGCCTGGAATTTAGAGAGAGACTGATAGCATTTTCAATCTTTTCAAATTTCAAGTTGGGGAACCCAATTTTTCAAAGTGATTTCTTGAAGATTCACGACAAATGAAAATGCTACCTGGTGGTAGACTAATAGATTTTTTTTAGATGTAGATTCGCCGTCAAATGTAACGGCGAAACGACGTTAATTCCATCTCTTCACAAAAGCTACAACGGCAATTATCAGCTCAGCAATCATTGTCCTACTTCTGGTCATCCAGCTAGCCTTTCCTACCCCCACCCACAAACTAAAATTCGAAGCTTTATAGGAAACCACCGGAAATTCACCGGGAAATCTGCTCTTTCAACCAGCGGAGACCTTTTTCTTGAAAAACCTAGATCTTGTTATACAGACAGGTAAGGGAAAATCTGGAGTTGTTACTTTGGAAACACGTCTCTTTTTATTTTTTCTTGATCTTCTTGTGTTTTCTTGATTATACAGTTATACTCTATCTGAACAACTGGTTTCTCGTAATTTCCAGATTTTCTCCTTTTAAAAAATCAGTTTGTAACGCGTTATACATGCAAATTCAAGATATATATATATATTTTTTAAACAAGGAACTTGCTTACACTAACTATGGTGTTTCGTGAACTTTGGTTATGCTTTAAGTTCATGAAGTGGGTCTGCATATGGGTTTCGCATCTCTTTCAGATTATTTGGTCACTGCAAGTGGAAATACTAGCTTAAATTTAGGGTTTCAGCATGATGTGAAGTTATCCATTTATTATTTGCATCAAATCATACTGCTAGGCTACAGTATGTGCAGTCCTAATTTCGTGTTATTTTCATCAAGTTTCGGGGCCGAGCTAAAACTTTTTACCTGCTTTATTTCTTTTCTGCAGAAAGTTGAAGCCATTTATGTCTCCAAGATGTGCATACGATATAAACAGTGAAATGCAAGTCTATTTACTGTTTAGCAGAGAGTAGCTTTAAGAAACACGCACAGGCTTTTCTTTCTCTTTCTACTATAGTTTACGACACAGATTGCGTACAGTTCATGTAAGATTTTTTGTCCAATTTTTTGTGTTTTTAGGACCATATGATTTTTCTTAAAAGCTATTATTTTCCTCACACGGATTACTGTTGCCTCTCTCTCTCGGTTGTTTTCTCCATGGAATTCTTGTTCTATACTTATTAATGGTGAAATACCTCTTTCCTGTTGAAGTTTATGCTGATTCTATTATAATTGTTCAATATTTTTTGGGTTGGATATGCTTGCATGCAGGATTCGTATATGAAAATGCTTTTGGTGCAGTCTATTTTCTTTTGAAAGAGTGGGGGCAGTTGTTGAAGTTCTCCTTTATCTCACCAGTTCATTGGGAAAACTATGAACCAAGAACGTGATAAGTTGAGAATTCAGCAAAATTTAGCTCAATTTTCTGTCCATGATGGTATAAGTTACGAACCAGTTCAGCTTCGAAGTTCTAGGAATGGGAATTCATGTTACGAGTCATCTGAATTATGTTCAGAAATGCTTAGTTTTTCGGCAAATTCGCAAGCTTTACTGGGGCATAAAGATGAAGTAATGGTACAGGAATCTAATAGACGGGTTGTTGAGGCTTCTCTTGGTAATTTTTCACGCCCAATGTCCTCTACCTTCAATCCTTCAGCCACAGTAAGTTGTGATCCACAATGTTTTAGTACTTGGAAAAACGTTGGTTCACAATCAGGCAGTGATTGGATGGCCGATCCGTGCCCAATGTTAGTTGGAACTCTCTCTGGTCCGTTGAAAATGATCCACAATGGTTATCTAGAATCAAATTCTTCGTTGATCAATCCTTTGGCTGATGTTTCGACCCAAAATGGCCAAAAACCTTATGGGAATCTGCATTGTAATTCTTCATTTTACCAAAATTCACTAGATGATGTTGCTCCAGCCAATAGTCAAATCACTGGCCTAAAATTGGCTTCCTTTAGGCAAAATAATGACGAAGAAACTAGCCAAGGTCTGTGGGCAGTTGGTGGGGGTGAACTACTACTACTTCCGGGCTACGCTGATCAATTGCGCCTTAAAAGTGGAGTGGAGTGGTATGGTGGATTGGAATATGGAGAAAATAAGAATATAGATAGAGACCACACTATAACTGCTAATGATAATTCCAATTCTCAGGCCCTCTCTTTGTCACTTTCATCAGTACCATCACCTAAAGTACACGTAGAGCAGACTGTTGAAAGAGACATTTCTGCAGATTTGCACTCCAGAAATGTTAGTAACAACCCAAATTCAGAGGCCTTGAATTCTGCATATTTTTCTTCCAATCCAAAATTTTCATTTGATAGTAAAATTTCTGAGAGTTTTCCGCAACAAATGTTGGGAAATTCGAGTTTTGCCCATCGATATCCTGGCCCACTTGGTCCCTTTACTGGTTATGCAACTATTCTCAAAAGTTCAAAATTTTTGAAGCCAGCACAACAGCTGATGGATGAACTTTGCAATGGTGTCAGTGCTAAGCACATTGAAATGCACGAGGCTTCTCCTGACAAAACTCTTAAAGAAGTTGGGGCTTCTGGTGATAGTGTCTGTGCTCTTGGAACGGTACTAACAGCAATACCTGGTGATTCTGACGGATCGTCCTTTACATTTCATTGTTCAAATGGGAAGAGCCAGGAGCCTGAAGGTATGAGCAGCAAAATAGATTCTCACTGGCCTGAATATTTACAGAAGAAGGCTAAACTGTTATACATGAAGGATGAGGTTAGTACTGTTGACTTGCTTGTCTCTAGCTATAAACCATTATCAATAATACTCATATGCTTTAGCATGATTGATAAGATGGATTGGATAGTATTAAAATGAGAGTAAAACTAATTTTAGTAATAAAGTTTACAGTAAAGGAATCATGTTGCAATAATGCTATCTTCTAGGCCCCCATGTTTGGAGAAAATTTGCCCTTAACAGTGTTTTTGAATTTGCTTGTGGAAACTATTGTTGGAGAAAGTCTACTATTGACCACTTGCAGTTGCTGGACTCTTAACGAACTGGTTATGGAGTTAGATTCTTCTTTTGTTGGGCCAATGACAACTCATCAAGTTGTTGTATCATCAAAGACAACCCTTATTTGATCTCATTCATTCACTATTTTAGCTTTACTTCACAGTTCTAGCAACTCGCTTCTGGTATGCTCATGATATCGAAGGTGGCTCTGAATGCAAAACAGTGTATTTAATATTAACAAAAGCAATAATGAAATCTTGATTGTTCTTTCAAGGAACGAAACCTAGATGTAAAAAACTAGGCCGTCGCCAACTTATATAGTTACTAGGAACATCTATTAGAATTAAAATAAATAAAAAGGAGCTATTAAACCAATCAGCTATTGCCACTTGCATCAATTAGTGCTCTAGGATTTTCATTCTTATTGAAACTATACAGGGCGGACCAAGGAAGAAAGTTCAGTGGGGGGCGAAACCAAAAAATCTTGGAAAAAACCAGGACAAAAAAACAAAAAAAAATCTGAAAAATCGGGAAATCTGAAAATTGAGTGGGGGCGGTGGCCTCCACTAGGCCTCGTGTAGGTCCGCCCTGACTGTCAACGAAGAAACTAGCGAACAAAACTATTTTTTTAAGAATAAGAATGAATTATTTTTGCATGGTGGGAAATGATGTTGAAAAGGAATGTCAATTGTGAAAGGATACCTTGGGCTTGATTGGATGGGCTGTTCAGCTCTAAGTTACTGGTCATGCATTTGAAGCTCCAGCCAACCAATAATTTAGAGCATGGATTTCATGTTAATGAATTGCTACTAAAAATTGATTTAACCTGAGATGGTTTTGGGTAGTGGTGATGACTTTTGACCAAGCCCACAAATATGAAAATCACTTCTCCACTGAAATTCTGCTCCCTTTATAATCTGAACCCTTTTCCAAAATTAGGTAAATAATATCATAAATATTTTTGTTGTGTAATAAGTACTTTTCAGTGAAACTTACTATTAAAACTGCTTTGTGAAGGGGTTCCCAAGATTGATAAACTTAAGGGGCATATCTTAAACAAGCAATGCAAGATTTAAAAGTAATTCTTACAATCCGCCTCTACTTAGAATTGATTTTTACGATGGCTTATATTTCTTAGTTAATTCAAACCTGAATGCTTCCAAAATTAGTTTAAGCCCTTGTTTGGTATGGATTAAAATGCTAATAAAAATTTAAGTCAAAGTCAATAATTAATTTTAACCACATATTTAATAGGACTCACAACTTTTTAATTATACGTTTCATCATCTTTTATCCAAATTTACTAATAATATGATCTAGCTACACCAAATAGGGGCTAAATAAACTCATATATATTCCCCTTGTTTAGTTGTGTCACAAGTACTTTTTGAACAGAACTTAAGCTTAAGACTATATTGTAAAGGGGAGTCTAATTGGTTATAAACACACTAGTAGACCTTCAATGAGCACTTTCTTATTTGTGTGGCTCTTTGGAACTAGTCTTCTATTAGATGTAGCTCTCCAACTCATCCTATTTACTAAGAGGGTTCTCTAAGAAGAGGTGTCCACTCTAACACCATTATCACAAGCACTTTGGTTAGAACTCATCCTTGAAATCTGCATGTAAAGAGGACATGCTCAATATAGACCTTGTGCTTACACACCTACAATATAGAACTTTCTTAAGCAACGTGCTACTTAGAAATAAACCTGTATGAACCACTACCAACTCTTGCGCTTCCAACCGTCACCATTTCCACAACCCTCATAAACCATCATCTAGCTTCAAAGCACCAACCTCGACATTACACAATGTCAATAAATGCAAGAAATAAATATTGAACCCCATACTTGGTCAGAACTTGTGATGAGTTGAAAGATTTAATTTAATTAAACCACAATTGGTGGCACATTTTATACTTTTATTAATTGCAAAATAAATAAAATGTAACTTAGGAGGGAGGCTCGACCTCAGGGGCGGAGGTAGTATGGGAGGTAGAAATCAGCCCATTTACATTTAAAAACCATAAGAAGAAATCAGCCCATTTACATTTAAAAACCATAAGAAGAAATTGAAGAATTTTGGCCCAGCACTGCCCCAATCCATATAAAAACCTTAAGAAGAAATTGTAGAATTTTGGCCCAAATATTAGCATTAGCCTAACTCTAGTTTGAATCTCAACTCAAATGCAATGCTCAATTATTTAAATTGTATTAAAGATGCTACGATTATTAATTACTATTTTCATGACATTCATAAACGTGAATATTTTATTGTTAAATTAGATTGCTTACACACCTACAATATAGAACCTTCTTAAGCAATGTGCTACTTAGAAATGAACTTGTATGAACCACTACTAACTCTTGCGCTTCCAACCGTCACCATTTCCACAACCCTCATAAACCATCATCTAGCTTCAAAGCACCAACCTCGACCTTTCACTATGTCAATAATAAATGCAAGAAATAAATATTGAACCCCATACTTGGTCAGAACTTGTGATGAGTTGAAAGATTTAATTTAATTTAATTAAACCACAATTGGTGACACGTTTTATACTTTTATTAATTGCAAAATGAATAAAATATAACTTAGGAGGGAGGCTCGACCTCAGGGGTGGAGGTAGTATGGGAATGTCCCCAGCCAATTTACATTTAAAAACCATAAGAAGAAATCAGCCCATTTACATTTAAAAACCATAAGAAGAAATTGAAGAATTTTGGCCCAGCACTGCCCCAACCCATATAAAAACCTTAAGAAGAAATTGTAGAAATTTGATCTAAATATTAGCATTAGCCTAACTCTAGTTTGAATCTCAACTCAAATGCAATGCTCAATTATTTAAATTGTATTAAAGACGCTACGATTATTAATTACTATTTTCATGACGTTCATAAACGTGAATATTTTATTGTTAAATTAGATATTCTATTTAATGCATATTTGACTAAATTTACTTATATTTTTTAATTAATTTTTATTATAGATAATTTGTATTGATTAGATCTAGACGTAAATTACTTATTTTAATAGTTCGAGACACTATATATTTTGCTAAATTTAAAAGTAATTATTTTTATTTCTACGCATGTTTTTCATATAGTACTAATTCATACTTATAAATAATTACTTATTTTGGCCATAAAAAAGATATTATGATCAAAATAAATAATGTACTCTAGATTCGATATTGACAATAAAAAGAATATTTGTGAAAACTTGTTTATTTATAAATTAATCTATACATAAGTATATTCTTGAAACCGAGCAAAAGGAATTAAATTTAATTTCTTTAACTTTCAAAATTCTTAGTTGATTTTTCTCACTTTAGTTGAGATCCTCACTCACTTTGAAATGTGGTGATATAAAAGATCGATACACACACCAAATAATATTTGGAGAAAATAACATATGGATAATAGTGATATATTATCGACTGCGTGGTTCAATCAAGCTTTCAGTTGTTTGGAAAGATTGATCATCCAAGTTACTAGAAGAGTACTTGTTAAGTAATTTTTTAAATTTTCATTGGTGGATATGTACTTTTGCTTATTTCTATCATGATTTGGTTGATTTATATTTTTTAAGGTAAGCATCGATTTTCTATTTGGTAAAAAAAATACAAAGATTTAGTGGAATATCTTAATGTGAGACATCTAAGCTTTTTTTTTTTTTAATTTCATTGAGTTCCATGTACTTTTTATTGTGAATGTCACAAGAATAGCATCTGAAACTTGATTTCTTGTGGCGTGAGTTTATTCGAAATTTTTGAAGTTTCTGGTTCCACCCCTGCTTGACCTGATCGAATTACAAGGAGAAATTTTTTCTGTCCTAATGTGGGGTACACGTGAAAGTTAAATGAAGATGCGATCCAGTGATAATCCTCGTGCATCTGCATCTGCAGCTCATGATCGCTTTCTTATATAGTGTTCGATATTAAGTTTTAAGATTTTTGGTAACCATGTGGTATTGGAAACACAATGTCTCATTTAGGGAGATGGAGCGATCTCATCCGTGAGTCCCATGCAATAATGTCTAAAATCGTTCTTGGCACAAGCCATCAAATCTTCAATACACCAATTGTTTGGGAAAAAATTCCGCAAATGCGCAGCGAAAGCAACGGAAAATAGTAAAAGAAAAACGAGCTTGTCGGATAAACCTAAATTAATGTGGTTAGACAAAGCCAACGATCACAGAAAAAAGAAACTCACAAAACCTCACGAGTTTCTTCACATTCTCTCTCTCTCTCTCTCCCCACACAAAGTTGCGATGCTCAGTGGACTCTGCACATTGGCTTGTACCTTTCTGTCCAGTGTTCTCTCTCTCTCTCTCTCCAAATGTGGCTGCTGAATTATGTTTTCCACTGTTACTTTGCCCTCTACATGGAACATTAAGTAGTACAAATATATAAATAAAAATTACAAGAAACCTAAACCTACAGCCTGTCTGGCGCTGCTTTTTCAAGCCAAAAAATTGATTTTGTAGCCGTTGCACGTCCTTTTCTGCCGTAATGTTTGACCATTATACTCACATGTGGGACCCAACTTACTATCTAACGGTACAAAAATTGCTTTGCAAAGCAATACCAGACAGGCTTCTAATTAGCTTAGGTTAGATTCCTTCTTTGTGCTATCAAAGGAAGATTCCTTTTCCTTCTTTAATTTTATTTCTTTCCTTAGCCACTGCTGCAACACGTCTCTGATCCATCTGTTCTTTAATTAGGTTAGTTTATGATGCTAAATTTATGTTATTGGTTTGAAATCTTTAAAGCAATTTCTATTTGGCTGCTCGACTTGTTAGGCTTATGAGTCAACTTAAACAACAATCCCTTGCATCCTTATAGATACACCACACCCTTTGTCGTCGTAGAAAAAAGAATATGAAAGACAACTATGACAAATCTAAAGACACCAACTCTGAAACAACACATTTTTTTTTCCAAAAAAAATCAGAGTATTATCCTTTGTGCATAGGGTGAGAGCTGAAGTCTTGATGATTTGAGTTTGGTCGTGGGGTGGTCGCTGCAGTGGTAGGTGTTTGATGGTGTAAAGAGTGTAGGGGTGGGCTGGCCTGGTTTGAGAGGGTGGCATCGAGGTGGACGGTGAAGATATATATATATATATATATATTTTAGTCTCTCTTTTACTTCTCTTCTCGTTTAAAGTTGCGGGCAACTTTTTTTTTCCATACAAATATTTAATGATCTTTTTGGGTGGGTTTCTATCAGTAAGGACCATCTATACCACAAAACTATATGTTAGAGGAGCTCAAGTCCAGGGAGAAAAAGTTGGGGCTAAAAGTGCAATAGGCGCTATAAGTTTGAGGAGACAGATGCAATTTAGCTCATTAACTCTGTCCTAATGTTATCTTGAGGTTTATCCTAACATCACCTCCGAAGAGGGAACTAATGGCTCGTCGTTTGCATGAGAAAAAATATGACATAACTATGATTCACATTTTGTTGAATTGCAATTTCAATTTTCTAATGCTTTGCTTCTGAGATTGGAAACTTGATGAGGTTGCCCCATTCTTTGCAATTTCGTTTATAGCATTGTCGGTGTCAGTCTTTGAAGGACATACCAAGTGGACTACATTAGGTATGTTTATTTCGATCGAACATCTTGATATGAGGACACCCTCCATTTATGTATATGGATTATGAGACGTGTTCTTTTTATTGGATAATACTATCTCACTGAAATTTTCTGTTATCACGCTGCGGTCTTTGTAATTTGACTTCTTGTGTTTCCCATTTTAGATGTGAACTATTTGGTAAATTTGAAATATCCACCTAAACAAGGTTGGTTTAATTTAGCAGGATTTGAGAAAATCAATTGCATATGAAATATAGAAAAGAAAATATAAGCACACACTCGTGTAATGAATTTTTGATGAGCAAGTTGGAGCCTCTATTGGTCTTGTATCAAATTCACGAATTGCTTTCGTTATATTTGTTGAAAACAAACTTATAATAAATAAGTTTATTCCATTTCAGCCTTCATTAACCTTAAACTTTTAAATGGAATTTATTTTTAAAAGGGAGAAATTTTGAACTTTAGAACTGCTTTTCTAAGACAAAGTTTTGCTTTGCTTCTCTGTCTTACGTGATGTTTTCCTTCATATAAAGCAATGACCTCAATTTTTAATGTCTCTTGAGAAGGGAGCGTTCTGATTTGTTTTTCGCAGTGAATAGCAATATGTTTTCAACTGAGGAGTACTTGGGTGCCACTGTGTCAACTAATGGGGTGCTAATCCCTTTCAATTTCTTTATGAATCTATAACGTTAAATATGAACTTAAGTCATTCAGTCATGAGTACCTGCATTATATCATAAGCACTGTCAGTGCATTTCTAAAGTTGTTGAAATTTGGCTTACAGAAATGAATTATATGTATAGATTATACCTTAAATGGAATAAGAACAACTGGAGTTTATTGTTGGTTGTCAGTATGTCTGTAAACCGAGATCTACCTGTTAGATTAGAAATAAATGGGTGCTAGGCATGTAATTGTGGATTCTTCATTGGTTAATTTGCTACAAGAGCTTCTTTTGTGACTATTTGACATTTGAGTTTACAACATTTTTCTTCAAGCACATTGACAGTGGCATCTAATATGATTTGTTATCTAATAATGAATGTTGGTTTAGTTAGCATATTTTGCAATTTGGATACTTCATTATTTGAGTGCTTGTAATTCTTTATGGTGATGTAAGTTTGTGTGATTAATTTATATTTCTAAAGTTCGTCAAGATACTGCAGTATTTTATCATTTGTGTTATTATTATTATTTTTTTCAAAGGTTTGCAGAAGGTATAAACAGTATCATCAGCAGATGCAAATGGTAGTTTCATCCTTTGAACCAGTCTCAGGTCTTGCTGCAGCTACTCCATATATCTCTTTAGGTCTAAAGACAGTCTCCAGACACTTCCGTTGTCTAAAAAATGCAATAGCCGACCAACTCAGAAGCATAAGTAATGCCTTGGGAGAAGATTTGTCGTCCCCCACTGTGGGCACAAGCAGTAGTAAAGGTGATACTAGTGGTTCAAGGTTAAAGTTCGTGGATAAAAGCTTTCAAAAGCAGAAAGGTGGGTGCTATACAGGCTTTCTTGATCCCCAACAACACGTCTGGAGGCCCCAGAGAGGCCTACCAGAACGTGCAGTGTCTGTTCTTAAAGCTTGGCTTTTTGACCATTTCCTTCATCCGTAAGTCCCTTTTATCTACCTATAAATTTGTTTGTGTCATGTTCACCTGAAAATATACTTTGAGGCACATGATGCATGCATTTGTACTCGCACTCAAATTTTAATGGAAGTGAATTTGTTTGTGTAGATATCCTACAGACACTGATAAGCATATGCTGGCTACTCAAACCGGCTTAACCAGAAACCAGGTAATTGGCATTCATCAGACACGGAAAATCTTATTGACTGCAGGCTGAATTCCTTGCCTTCGATTCATATTATAGATATGCCCCAAGCCTACTTCCCTGGGGCTTGCTTGCTTTGTGCCTTCTATCAGAAGAAGACGTGTAGATACTTCCAATAATTGAGCTAAGTTTCATTTTTAATGTTAGGTTTCTAACTGGTTTATCAATGCTCGGGTCCGTGTATGGAAACCCATGGTTGAAGAAATACACATGCTAGAAACCAAAGGAATGACAGAAACCGAATCAAATGCTTCAAAAACTGATGGGAAATCCCAAACTGAAGGTTCTGCTCAGTTGAATGGCATCCCATCTTTCAATACACGTGGCATAACTGCAGATTCTCATAAGCAAATGGATTGCTCAAGAATTAGCCCATCAGAGTGCCAAGGGGATGGGCCGAGTGCAGAATTATGGACTCAGGAGAAGCGTTCAAGAGTGGAGTATCATATTCCTGGTAGCATGGATGGATCATTCATGGGTTTTGTGCCTTACCACCAGGGTGGACTGGAAATTGGAGGTCTAGGTGCTGTGTCTCTAACTTTGGGTCTCAGGCAAAGCGCGGAGAGTGCCCAACAACTGCAGCCAGAAAATCATCTGAGACAGCAAATTGGGGGCCAGATCATTCATGATTTTGTAGGTTGATTCATGCAGTTGCATTGCATTAGGTGGTGTATGTGATATTAGCTAGAAATAAAATCTAAGAAAAAATTACTTCAGCCTATGCTGCAAAGCTTAGAAAAACTGTAGAATCAAAACAAAATAGATGATTATCCAGATTATGTTACTGGAGAAAAAAAATGTATATTTAAGTGTCGATGTGAAAATTTGTAGGATATGTTTTTCGAAAGAATTTGAACCTTTGCTTGTGTGGCTAATAAGAGGGATTCTGCTTCTGGTGCATAACTGCAGCATCACACACTGAGTTCATAAATAACCTTGCCAGCCTGCATGATTTCTTGGCGGTTTCATGGGAAAGTTGGAAGTTTTATTGTAATATATATGACTTACCTCTTTATATGCATAGTAATGGTAAAAGGGCTCCTATGATGAGAAAACCAAGGAAAAGATGAAAATTGAGAGAGAATTGAGCTATCGTGTCAAATAGGACTGCAGGAGCGTGGTGGAGGTTGAAGTCTATGATTGTACATCTAAGGTCTAACAATGTCAATTTTGACATTGTGGGAAATTGTAGAATTTACTGGAGTCACTGATCATGAATAGAATGAGGACTTGAGGGGACTGTCTGAATTAATTTTCAATTGTCGTGGAATCCGGGATCGGTTTGCAGTATTTTGTCCCAAATCAACACACACAACCACGAGTTCAACAACCCACAACTATGTTACTCTGGTTGCCCAAGGTGATATATCCTCAAAGGAACAAAAGTATGTGGTGGTGGTTTGCAAGCCACAGAGGCAAAAAGAGAGCCAACAGAAATCGAGGCACGAGGTTCTCACATTCCCCTTTCATGTATATCAATTTTTTTAATTAATAAAATGGGATCGGGGAATGCAAACCCCCCACTAGTCCAGGTGAAAGCCTAAAAACTCCTAAGCTTGTGTGGTGTTTCACCAAAAAAAGAAAAAAAGGAAAAATTATGTGTTCTCAATCATGTATCCATTTTTTTTTCCATGAGCGAATCAACAAATGCTTGATGTCAAATTTTATGATATTTATGAGAATCAATAGGAACCAAGCCTACGTTTGGTGTATATTAAAATCCGACTTAAAATCTAAATTGAAATTAATAATTAATTTGAACAACATATTTCACGAGACTCACAATTTTTCAACCGCAAATTTATCTAAGTTTTTTGAAATCTGATTTTAATCCACGTCAAACAATTTATTTTGTATCCTTTGAACACCTCACTAAAATAATTGGCATCAGAGATGGATTCGTTCATGTGAGTATGCTGTGAAGGAGATGTCAAAATTATGAAGTACAATTGGAAGATGCTTATGATCATGGCTACGTGATGCAGATGGAACAGTCGACGTTATTGATGCCCAACAAAGCGAAATCAATATCCACTGAAAATTCGAGGATAAATTTTTTCCACACCTTTGAGAATGATGCAACCCACATATGGAAACTATCAATTATTTTGACAGTTTTAAATTTTTAATATATGATTTTTTTCCCTTTGTTTAAGATTTTGGTTATATTCAACTTTCAATTATTATTTTAGATTAGGATTTTTTGTAACAATATTTTGCAATTTCCTTGGATTCTATTGAATTGTATAAATAAGATCACTAAGATATTTTGAAATGGGAGATTTAATGAAATGAAAATCGAGTGTTCTTAATTATGCATTCAAATTTTCGATATTCGTTTATGAATCAACAAGTATGTGCTACCTAATTTTCTAGTATTAATGAGTGAATTAACAAGAACTAGAAATTTGTTTGTGAATTCCTTGTTCTCATACTTCCATACGAGCTACTCGACATAAAAAAGTTGGAATGATGATGAATTTAAATGAGGTTGAATTCGGATAAAAAAGTGAGATTTTTTGTGAATCTTTTCAAATTTTCAGTATTTCATAAGAATTAGCGAATTTTTGATTCCCAAACTTCTGCGTTCTATGAACTGGAGAATATTCACATATATATCGAATCAACAAGCATTCTCGATGCTTTCTTTGTTTAACAAGATTTGAGTATGTTGGTTCAGGTTTTGTACACTTTGAGAGTTTGTTTTCCGCATTGTAGTTTTAATAAATCGTTGTACACTACATTATGAACTCTACTATAATTCATTACAGCGCTATATGAGCGCACACACTTATATTTATTGCATATTGCGACTGCATCAGGATTTGTGCAAGCTAATTAGATGTATTGTGTTTGGAGTGATACCCCATCACCACCTTTTCCAAGGTCGTTAGTTATGCGGGAATTCTGGTATGGGGATTTGATGATGAGGTTGATTCCGCCCAGAATCAGGATATGCTAAAGTTTCCTCCATTACCATTTGCTTCGGCTCTTCCTCATGCTCAAGATCAAGTTTTTCGGTCCTGGGAGGTGGGTTCATGGGTGGCTTCTGGGCTTTTGTTAAGCAATAGCTCATAATCAGTAGAGCCTCATTTTCGCCATTTCTGGAGTCCCCTGGTATGAATAAATCAATCACAATCAATTTAATTCGAGAAAAAATTGTTTTAAGGATTATAATTAAGCCTGTCCCTTCCATTTATGGTGGTTCATCCTCTATGTGATATTTACCTTCAGATGTACATTTCCGCTATAATGTCTCTTTCTTCTCATATTGTAAATTTCCACAGTTTTGCAATCCGTACCCCGAGGGAGGCTGTACACCGAGTGTCAACCTCGGTATGCAAGTAATAAAACCCTTTCCACTATGATGTCCCATGTCTTCTCATATTTCTCACACTCAAAACCACTAAAACTTTTAATAGTAGGAATATTATTACAACCAAATATATATAGAAAAGGGCAAATTCAGGATTTTTATTAGAGAGCTAAAATTTTAAAAAGTCAATGTACTAAAATTAATATATAAATAAGTCGATAAGAGAACAATTCATTAATTTCATTTAAATATAAATTAGTATAAATTGTAATTAACAAATAAATGAAAAAAATTAGTGATGTTGTGGCAAACGAATTACTTACTAATTGTGTAATAGAATAAAATTGAGGAGCACGAATCTGAATATTGACAAAAAATAAAAATAAAAAAATAAAATGAAGGTTTTCGATCACTTTAATGTTTAATCTGAATATTAATGAAGGTAAAATATAGAAAAAGCTGCCAAAATTTTATTAATGTTATTCGATCACTTTTTAATATTATTTTCCTATTAATTTGATTGCATAATTATGCAAGCACGAAGGTTTTCTTTATAATCTTTCAACCCAACAATTAAAATTTTGACACAATAATTAATCATTCACCACTCTACAATCAAATCCATCATTCAAATGGATTGATACAAACCAAAAGTCAAAGAATCACAGTAAAAATCCTGTTACTTTCCCATGCGATGCTAATTCATGGAGGTAATTTCTGTATCAGTATGACGATATTATTCATCACTTTAATCATTTACAAATATTCGAATTTGAATTTTATAGGATATATTTATTAACTGATACATAAAGGACTGTGTTAATTATTTACCATATTCACACAAATGAGAGAAAAAAAGGGTTTTCATCTCAGCAAATGTAATGAGAAAACTATAGATGTATAAAATCCTTCATCAAGCTTTCTCGTACTCTCAGTTGTTTGAGATCATTATTACTAAATCGGGTTTGTTTCCTATCGAAACCTTATGCAAATTATAAATTTGGTTAAAAAATAATTCAAATCCAAACACGAAACATTCCAACAGGCATTTTTTTCTCTGTTAACTTGGAACATATATAGAAAATATTCCTTCTCCAAAAGACAGCACCATTGACAGTACCTACTCTAATCTTAGGGCTTTCCATAATTTTATGGCTATTACAATTATTTCTTCCTAGTGTCATAATGCAACTTGTTGATATAACTTGGGTGAATTCTGACAGGCTGTTAAGAAATATATGTTTTTTATTTTAGAAACAAGACGATTTCGAATGGGTTTTAATTCAATTTTTGCAATCTGGTATTTCGTTAGGGTTTCTTTTGCAATCTGGATTTCCTTTTTTTTTTTTTTTGATTATGACTATTGAAAGAGACGATTCGCTTCAGTCTGTGAGTGTGAGGTT